AGCTGCGCACCCTTAGCAGCAAATATATATAAGGTCATATAAAATGTAGAGTTACATAAAAGCCCTTAATATAAAACAAAATTACAAAATATGCCTATTTCCTACAAATCATAGTCCAAATAATTACATTCACCCATAATTTCAACATAACCATTTCACACAATCATGTTGCATTACTTCTCTGAAAATTAGAGAGGAAATCACCTTGGGGGGTTGTTTTAAGTTTCCGTATGCTTCTTCACACTTCGAGGACTCAACTTCTTGATTCTGTCTTGCTGGTCCAATGATAATAAAAAATAACAAATCAAAGTCTGCTTGTATGGTTTGCATCTTCTATTGTAAGAAGAGCTAACTGCAGGTTGCTATGAAACCAGATAGGACTACAATCTGAATTCTGATTTCTGTGTGCTAAATTATAATTTATGTGTGTTTTATTCTATCATTTTGGTGTTTTGCCTGTTTGATTCCAGCATTTAGTTTGTAAGGAATGAAGAACAAGCTAGCTGCAACAGAAATAAGACTGAAATCTGAATTCTGCTAGTTTACTGCTCTTATTCTTATCAACTTGTTTAGTTGATAGAATAGTTTTTCCTTAATCAAATTATAAAAATGAGATAAATGAAATAGAAATCATGCTAGTAATTTGTTTTTTTCTTTTTTAGGTTTTGGATTTAAGGGGCTCCTGCTTATAAGTAAAATCAAAGCTCAGTCTTCTCTTCTCTGTTGCATTCTCAATAACTTTAATGGGATGCTTCCAGGAAACAAGATTTCCAAAGTTGGTTAATTGACTTGGGTTTCCACGACGGAAGAGAGTAGGTAATTAAGTTAACAAGTCAATGGTATACCACTTCTTTCACTTGAGTGTGTTCCAACTTCCACATACTCATTTTCTTGCATGTATTGTTGAATTGTGAAGGTCCACCTCACCTTTTTATTAAAATTCGTCAAACTGGTATCTTCCTTTAATCTTCACCCCACCCAACTCTAAATTAATGCTTTCTCCTTTTATTTCTTTGATGTTCCCAACAGTTATATTTAAGTAGAGCAGAATGGTTTTGAGAACTGAGCAGACACCAACACAAATGATTAAATTTCCTTGACACAATCTTCAGTTTGGTTGAGCTTCATCTTCATTCTGTTCTTTTCACTTTCAAAAATCATGGTTTTGGGTATAGGGTCCTTCTAATTAATTATCACAAGATGTCAAGTAAAAGATCACATAAATTATTCTTGACAAACGAACATTATTTGGGCAACGTTTAGTCTCTATGGTTTTATTTTCTTTGAAAGAACCCCGAATAGTTAGTCTTCGTCTTGATGATATTTTTATCTGTACCAATTGCATCACATGTTTAGTCTCAACCTTATCTTTGATGGAATTAGAAAATGAACTTCACATTTTCAAATGAATCAAATATTTAAATTTACTAAAATACCCCTTAAATTTAAACTATGTTATCCTTACTTTCTATATACTAATAAGGATACTTTGGAGAAAAACTAATATTAGATTAAGTTTAGTGAAATGAACCCGCCAACTTACATGAATTCTTTCACATTATTTCTCTCCTTCCATCGGCGTTCCTTACAATACTTGCGCACCATTCACTACAACAAAATGGCATGAGAGTGCTTTTAGCAAGTGGAAAAGATGAGAAATTAAATAAATAATAAAAAAA